CCCAGGCCTCATGACCAAAGCCATACAGAGGAAAGGAAGCTGGAGCCTTTTAAAACTCTGAATTATGAATGGTTTCAACCCTAACATTTCCAACAGGGAGGAAGTTAAAGGTTGTGACTGTACTGCTCTGGATATTCAGCCCATTTTGACCCATTATTCCAAGTTTCAGAAAGGCATACGAGACCAAGCAGAACATATACAGTGTTTATAAATCAAAGATCTGGCAATAAAAACATTTCACGCTACAGCAACATTTAATAATCAAGATATTACAGCATCATAGCATATGGTTTAGAAAAAGCAAATTTTATTATTTAGTTCTTTATGAAAACTTTATATTTCTGGAATATAAACATTTTTCTTAATAAACTGCTCACAATGTCAGAGGAGCATTTGTGTCATATAACCAACACTCACACAAGAGCTTATATGGGACAGGCCCTCAATAAATGCTGCAAAATATGTACTTTAGAAATGAGGAAATCAAAATACTCATTTTAAAAGGTGAGGAAGAGAATTCAAATTCTATTTAACAATGCAAGGGAGAAAATCTTAAATAGTATTTTCTTGAAGATTATATAGCGTGATAACGAGTACCATTTATATTTTTGAAAACTTATGCCAGATGCAAATCAGAGGAAAGCTATAATCTATCACAGAACACAAACGCCTGCAAGTGGTACTGTAGTATTTCTCCGTGAAGAAAGCACACTCATGCCCGAGACATGCTAACTATGGAAACAGTGCCTCCACCTGCTGGGTCTTTCTTCTGGCTTGCCTTTCCTTGTTCCTAGAAGTTTGTCAGATCATAAGAAAGGCACTTCCTGTACGGCCTCAGTCACGGGAAAGCTCAGTACAATATGAATGTGTTATGAAGACAGGATTTTAAAGAATGGCCTCACCAGCATTTCGCTGCATGCTTATGCTCCTGAGTGGAACACGGTTAACCATGACGCCAAAGCTTGGTAAGATGGCTCAAAAGACGTTCCTGACACGCGGGGGCACCACTGCTACTTCCACAGCAGTATGCAATGGGGGCCAGGACTGGCACTCACTGGCCATGTGCTGTCCCTCGTGCGTCTGCAAAACCTCCTCTACCCCTCAGAATGGCACCACTGGGAAACTGGAAATCCAGGGACTGAACAAAATCAAAACATTGTGTTCCTTCATCCTCTCAGGCATAAGAAGAGTAAGTCCCAGAAGGCAACCAAGTGCCACTCTATGTCACACAGCACAAGCTTCAGGAGACACTTGTCACATCAATAATGGGAAATAAGGATAACTGCAGGATCTTAGGATCAAATGCAGCACTTAAAATTGCATCACAAGCCATGGCTGGCACACCTGTGTCTGTGTTAAAGTGGGTCAAATGCCCCTTTAAAGGCAACCCTCCCTCCCGCTCACACTGTCGTATCCCCACTGTGCTACCAGCTGGCAACAGCAGACCTGGCACTGTCAGGGAAGGAAGGGGGGGCACAGCTCCTCACATGCAACCCCCGGGCCACAGTCCACCCACCCATGCATACCGTGACCTATGTCTCGGGAATAACTTTTTGGACAGGACATTGAGGCCAGATTTCAGAAAGATGTTTTTAAAAACATGAGGCTGATAGTATCAGCCCAAAGAATCTCTACAGGCCCAGGAGACGAGGACAGAGACAGCCCTTCGGGCTGCGAGGGCTCCCATGGTTCCAGGTGCCCATGCTCCCAGAGGCCACAGGAGAGGACCCTGAGGGCGGCGGGCTCTGGGCTGCCTTCCGGTAGGCCCTTCCAGGCTAACGGGTAATGCTGCTGAGAGACATGAGCCACACGAGAAGATATTGCTTAGGATGGAGACTGATTTGTGAAGGAGATTACAGCAGAAGCGTGGGGTGCTAGCCACGTGGAGAAGCTGCCAGAGCTTCTCATACAAATGCAAAGGGTACCCATGTTCCTTCAAGGAAGCATTAATTCATGTGCTATTTGCCCAGAAGATCCAGAAAGTAATTTCATAGAAAATAAAAAAGAAAATAAACATTGAAAATCCAGAATATTCACAAAGATTCAGATATTTATACCACATGTGAAGAAATCAAATGGCTTCACTTACTCTTCCCTGCAAAGTGAAGTAAGCCGACAACATTGCACATTTTCGTCAACTCCTAATTTTCCCACCATTTACCCATTTTTCCTGCTTTGAGCCCAGACAGTTGATGACTGTTAGAGTCAAATCCATGGAAGGTATTACTCGTGTATCTCACATTCAGGTCTGCAATACATTTCTTCAAATGGAGTTGCTAACGAGACACTGGAAAAAGTGATGTAACTGCACATCAGGCAGATTAAGTTCCATATTTCAATAATTTTTGTCTCTTCTAGCTTCCTAGAACAACCTGTTTACATCACCTGTTTCCAGCATTAACATTTTCCAGTGACATGTAAAATGGGATCACGAAGAACGTCAACCTTAAAGAAATGGGTCAGACATGGCGTCAACTTCCATACGGGACTTGCGAGGGCATGAGCCGTGTGTCCACTGCCTCCAGCCAGAGCTGGGACGCCCCTTGTGGTGAGTCTTAACCTGGGCACATCACTTAAGCACTGAGTCTCAATTTCGTTCTTTATAAAGCAGAACCACCAAACTACTTCTCTAGAGCTGTTCTGAGCATTTAAATACTACATTTTCTAAGTATCTTTTAACAGATAAACTCATAAAGATAAAAGTCACTCCATTATGTAGCATCTAAGCCTGTTAAGAACTAGTACAGTTACTGCACACGCATGGCACAGGTCTTATGTCTGCAGCTACGCTTAAAGCATGCAGGTAGGACTTAGTGATATACAAATATAAGTTGGAAAATGTGGTGTCACAGACAGGATGTACTAACTCCTTGATTCCTGAAATGTACTAACGTGAAAAATGCCATTTATGGATCTTAAAAATGCCAAGGCCACTTGTACATGAGGATTATTAACATGCCTAGAAATCACACAATTCAAATAATCTGCCTAGTTTTCAACATACAATTTTTCTAAAATGAAAATTTTTACAGCCTTTCAAAAATCAACAAAGAAATGCCCAGCCAAGTTTACAATGTAAGTTGACCATTTCTTTAAAGAACAATGTTTTAGAAAGCAGATTTAACAAGTTATCTCAGAAACTATTAAAGTGTTTTTAGAGGCATCATGGCACATTTTTCCCAAGTTACCGAGGTTGGAAAAACAATTTTAACAGAATTATCAGAGAATTTTCTGTCACTTTCTTTAAAATCCATAACAGAGGCTCAGACATAGGAGAACACATTCATGATGGTTCTAGCACAGTCAAGATCTGTGTTTCCCAAACTTTTCTGTCTCTGGGAGATGAGAGGGGTTCCACAACACATCATTTCAGGAAATGCTCGGTGCTACATTTCTTGGAGATTCACAGTGTGGCGCAATATAAGCTTTGATGAAGCCTGCCATAAAAATACTCGCTTAATCTTAATTCAGCATTTCTGAAATGCATTTCAGTGCTGAACTTTTTTTTTCTTTTACAAATCATTATTAACATCTTGTAGTTTTCTGGCTAACATTTTGAGAAGTGCTAGATCAGCTTATAATCTGTTTTGATGACCATATAACACAAAACTGGTTGGTTATTATTTCCATATGGAGGTGGGAATAAGAAAAACATGAATATAATGAAATGATTCATATTTAACACCAATCCAGTACTTCTCAACCTCAAGGACTCCAAGAATGTGCCTATAGATGCTCAGTGTCTACCCACCAAGCGCTGAAAAATCCTGCAGCAACCATTCCACTCAAGGGTTGCTGTGCACCATGTGGCTGGAAACCCCGGAAGACACCGGGCCCCCACAGCAACACTCACTCAGAGGTGTGATCCAGAGAAGCCTGGTACACGTGTGTTAACATGAGCACAAAAGTTAAAATTTTAGAGATGTCTGAGAACCCTGCCCCTTCTCCACCCCAAATATTCACATATCTCTAGAGAACTATAGAGGTTCGTTTAAGAAACACAGATCTAATCCAGTATTTCCATTTCATAGATGAGATGACTTGCCACATCAGCAACACAGTGGTGATCAACCCCTGGGGCTCCAAGTATCGACTCACGGCCACCAAGCTTGGCTGTCAGACACCATTCTGGGGCCTTATCTGACGACATACAACTAACTGCTTCAGGAACAATGCAGCATCCACTGTCCAGTCCAGGCACCGGTGTGGTGTGCACACATGCGTGTGTATGTCTGCCTGTACCAAAAGCCTAAAGATAGTTTAAGTTAATCAGAACAGAACATCTGTCTATCTGGCCAGTGATCTAGGACATTTACAGGAAAATTCACCTTCTTAAAATTCACTATCTTTCTAAAATCTGCATCAAGTCAACTGAAAATCAAATAACATTCACAGTGGAGCAAAATACGACTACACCTAAAGAAAAATGATTTAATAAGATCTCTCCAAAAGTCATTTTGTTATTTATGGCTCTAGGAGTCTAATTTCCTTTTCTTAGGAAAAGAAAACTCCCATCTCATGCCGAGAGAGTTCTCTGTATTTACTGTCTGCACCTTGTCCTAACACTATACCTGCCACCAAGAACTTCTTTTCCTTCCCCTTTATTTTGTTTCATTGCTCTCTTCTTGGCTGGACAAGCACTTTATTAAACAAAAATTAAAAACCGGCCTTAGTCTAAATAAAAAATTTTTAAATTGTGCTTTTTCTTATGTATGCACACACACAAAAATAATGCTTCTTTCTGAAGACAAACTGACCAGTGATTGAAAACTTTTTACAGATGAAATAAGAAATCTACAAGGAGTGACTTTGTCTTGTCCAGAACATAGCTAACTTAAGGAAGTGCAAGCGTCCTCTTCTATCAGGACAGGCAGAAGTGTTCTGTCTGTCACCTGCCTGCCTCTGGAAGACGTTCTGTTCAGGTAGAGGAACCAAATCGTACTAAACTGCAAACTATGCTATTCCCCTCCCCCATGTGACAAATATTAAAAGCCACGGGCTAGCAAATGCAAAATTTATTTCGACTGTACATAACAGATTTTTTATAAAACAAACACTTCATTGCCATATGCAACCACAAACAATAATATGCATACTGTACAATACAATGCAACATTCAGATATACATCCAATTGAGTTTTTCAAATGGTAGTCACCTACTAAAAATGGCTTTTCCCATTCACAGATAAAGAGCACAATTAAATAGATTTTTTTCAAGATCTTATACCACTATATACACATTACTGTGTTTTGGCAATTTTATGCAAAACACAATTAATATAGCTTATTATATACTTGTGGCAAGTGTTACTTCAAAGGGAACACCCTTGAGGCCATTTGCAAAGGCCTGGTGATGGCTTAAACCTACCTTCTAGTTCAGACTCTTCATCCTTTCATTAGAATACTAACTGTACACATAGATATTAGAGAATTGCATGAACAGAAGATACTATTATCCGCATGACTGAAGTCCCACAAAAGTAGAAACACGGGCCCTCTGGATACCATATCACCACTGCCACAAGAGAACTGTCTTTTCAGGCCTGTGGTACTAATATTTCTTAACCAGGTCACAAAAGCTAATGGTGTTAGACATTCAAAACAAATGCAAACAAAGAAAAGGTCAGGTTATTATTATGCAGTGATCTTGGCATCAACAAAAAGCATTGTCAAAACGCCTTGAACTGGTACAAAATGGAATGATGGGAAACTGTTAAACTTTGGTGTACAGAATATCAATGAAAATGTCCTGGTAAGATAACCAAATGATACTTGGTATTAAAGGAAAATCCAAGTGCAGCAACTGTGAGTGTTGTGGTCTACACAGCCCACGACATGGGCAACCTCTGAGAGAAGGCAAAGGCAGCTAAGCCAATGCGCTGATAGGTCATCTCGAGGCAAACAAAAAGGTGCTCTCTGATGTGGAGGACTACCGTATGTTATACAAAACCAAAATCGCTTCTAAATCCACTCATAGGAAGTACAGAAACTTTGTGGTTACCTTATTTCTTCAATAATTCCATTTACTATCTGGCTGAACATATATAAACCCCATCTCTGCCGGAGAGTAACACTGGGATTTGATTAATTTTAGAAGACTGCTCCTCAACTTATTTTTATTAATTGGTATAAAAATACAAAATCTTCTGTGGCATGAGCAGTTCAGTAGCTGTTTTGGAACAGACCAATATTTGGAATTAACAGCTGCCCTGATGCCTCCTGTGCCACCAGCTTGGTCTATTCTGAATGAAGCCACCCAACTTTCTAAACAAGGTGCTACTGCCAGGAGCTCCCCGGCAGCTCTGGGCTTGTGAGCGGCAGGACCTGGCTCCCAGGACAAGACTGATATTGCATCAGAGTTCATGCTGCACACACAAGATCAGAACACTGAATACGTGGGTTTGGCGAAGGAGTGGGCGGTGGGAAGAAAGAAATCACGGCCACCTGGAATTACAGCCACCCTAAAGAAGGAAAAAATGTTATTCTCAATTTATGATGGCACCTTGTTTTCTGAAGCTGGTTTCAATGAATACTTAAAACACAACTGTAAGGTTCCATTTTAACACCAAATAGAGCGTGCATGGGAGAGAACACAGTTGGCCCCTCAAGCAATGACTAGCTGTGGATTTGATGCTGCAACTGAATGCAACAGGTCACATTCAGTTCTTTCTGAAGCAGAAACTGGTCTGAGTAAAGCCAGTGAAAACTCCTTACAACAAATCCCAGGAAAATGGGGGATTTTTTTAAGTGAGCAACATGGCAACCTAGTAAATCTTCGACAAACTTCAATATCCCATTACAAGGAGGCATTGCCATTTTATTCTATGGGGTTGCTGTAAACGGAGCTTCACTGCAGCTGGTTGCTGAAAACAATGATGTGTCCATGGCTCTTCCAGACAACGTAAGTATGGATGTCAGGGGTGGGGAGCCGGGGGGGATTGAAGCCACAGCACTTGACTTTTTAAGTATTCCAAATGCCTCTCCAGATACAGGCTCGTAGTCTACACTTGCAGAGGCTGAATGCTTCAGATTTTGGACTTTAAACTTTTAGTATAGAGATTTTACTGTAGAGTGGTACAGGCTTGCTAAGTGCCATATAACAGAAATCATTTCAATTCAGGCAAGTTTGGGGTGAAGATGAGAGTGAACATCTGAGCCATGACAGTAAGCTCTGCCTTTGGAAAGGAGAGCTCCCACTTCACGGCCACAACGCAGCACACGGAAGAGCACAGAGCCGTGAGGTGGAGACAAGCTCTGAACACACGTGACGCCCGCCCGTCTGTGCACCTGCCAAGGCCCAGAGCCCACACGCCGTTCTGCATGATTACCAGAACACAGCCCTTGAAACGGGGCTCACAGCACCTTTGCTGCATGTATTCTTCCCATCTCTCCACAACTATTTGATCAGTGTTCATTATACTTAAAAAATTTAGGTCCCTACAGATAAGGCCAGAGTCTCCTCCATGGTTCTGGCACTTAGATCACAAACCTATGTGATTTCAGTATAAAATAAAAAAGTGTTCATACGGCTATATGCAGAAAGAAATCAAACAGTTGCTACACTGAGAAAAAAAAAAAAAAAAAAAAAAAACATTTGGAGCTATAAAACAACAACCACCCATTACGAAGAGCACCCTCGGGTGTAGGCTCACATGAACACACCACCTCCCTCCAATAGTCAGTCATTTGAATGTATACTCGCATCGGCAGTTAAGCCTCCACAAAGTACAATGGGAAATATCAGGAACACTCTCAAAAGTTGTTAAAATATCACATAAAAGAGACAAGGAACAGCAAGAAAACATCTAAGAAAAGCAGGCTGCGATACAACAAGCATTTGTTAAGAAAAGCTCAGAAGTGCATTAGTTCTGGTGAGAGATATATGAGCAACAGCTCTTACGAGATGTAGAACCCATTCTGTAACTATGGGCTGTCCATATACTGTCATAGTCAGAGTCTTCCGAGAGGTCTGAAGGCTCCAAACGAGAAAGGCTACTGCGACGACCCAAGGAGTCTAGGCTTGGTTGGTCATCATCAGCCAAGACGTGATTATGCATCAGGTCAGTGCCTTGCCATGCTAAGACGGGCGGGCGGAGGGACAGGCGCGACAGGCAGGGGGTGAGGAGGAGAACGACAGGAAGAGCCACAACCAAAACATGGAACAAAAGCAAAAGGTGATGGGAAGAGAAGGAAAAGAGAAAACATTGTTAAAAATTGGCAACAATGAATATTTCTCCTTATATATGGCTGGGTTTCGGTAACGAATGTTAGCAAAACCCTTAGAATAAAACTAGATCGATTATTATCTAATTAAACCTAACAAAATGCTTCAAAATTGCTCCCTTTAAAAATAAAAAAGATATTGCTCTAAAGCCCTCCTTTAATAAATCTTTTGCAAATTACACCTATGTCCAAAAGATGAGTCTACAGACATGTGGCAATTAACCAATTCTATTCCACATTCAATTAACAAATAGTCTCATTTAAGACATCATTTGCAAAAGGTACCATTTATGTGGCTAATTAAAAACTGTTTCCTATCAATAAACAGATGTATCAAATGCAAAATAATTTCAAAGGATTTCTTACAGGCTTCTTCAGCTGTCTCTTTGCCAAGACCATAAATCCCAGAGGGAGTCTGGACTTACCTGATCAATCAATAACCACTGTGAGAACTCAGAGGACAGAAAAGGCCTGGCCAGGGCCCACAGACCCAGAACCCACCACCTGCTCCCAGGGCGCACTCAAGCTTAGCCCACAGGCAGGGTGCAGTGGGCAGCTGGGTCTGCTGGCCATGCAGGCCACCCCGATGCAGACCCTTTGCTGGCAGGAAGAGAGACGTGAAGTGGAAATGCCCCGGTGTTAAAAGGAGAATGACAGAGGAAGTGGAACAGCATGGCAGGAGAGAAATACCACGAGTGGCTGGTAACTTTGAGCACTGCCATGGGCTGAGAGGCAGGCTGCGCTGCCAGGGCCTCCCTCCATGCAGAGCCGGCAGGGGTCCCTTGCTGAGTGAAGGCAAACCACAGCAGCCCCGGCCCCTCCCTGCTCCTGCTTCTCTCAAACTGACCTCTGTTCCCGGGTTGCAAGAACTACGTCATAACAGGCTGTGAGGGCCATTACTTCCTGGAGTTAGAAATCAATACCAAGGAAGTTTGGTTTACAAAGTCTTCTTGGCATCCAAATGTGTGAACAGAGCTGCATTTTAGGTAAAATATATTATCCTTCTAAAAACCATTTTACTAAGCACTTAACGTAAAATAGCTGCTTTCACTACAATCCCATTTCCAAATATCTTAAGTATAACACCTTTCCAGCACAAATGAGCAATTTCTCCTACTACTCCCTAATTTTGAGCGTAAGGTTTAAGGCCATATATGAAGATAAGCTCCCTGAAGCCCCAGAGTGGTTTGCCCATAGTATGAATTAAAAACAAAAATCAATGTATTTTTGAATGCTTTTCTTGCACAGGAGAAATGGAAATACAGAATACAGGCAATGTGACAATAAAAAAGTAATCGTGGGTTATTCCCCTTAGGCAGCCAGAGGCGGTGACGCCACAGCATGTCATAGGGTCCTGGGCAGAAGAAACGTGGCATGCACAATGACACATACAAAGCTCAACCCTCAGCCAGGTGCCTCAGTATCCACCAGGGATTGGTTCCAGGACTTCCCTCAGATACCAAAATCCTCAGACGCTCCAGTCCCCAATATAAGTTGGCATGGTGTTTGCATTTCACCTACACACAACTTCCCGTATACTTTGAGTCATTTCCAAATTATTTATAATACCTAATAAAATGCAAATGCTTTTATAGTATATTTTTTATTTTTATTTTTTACTGTTATATTGTTACTTTTTATTGTTTCTTTTTTTCGGAGTATTTTTTGATCTGCAGTTGGTTGAATTTACAAATGCAGAACTCAGAGACACAAATGGCCAACTGAACCTGGTCTGTTCATCTGAGACTACTGGGTTAAAATTGTATTTCAAGTAACTGAAATTCAGATGATAAAGAAATCTCAAATTCAAAATGCAAAACGTTATGGTCCCATTTCATAGCCTATTACTTAAAACATGATCAATATCAAATTATGAACATGTAATACTTTCTATACATATTTATTCCACATTTTGATAGGCTACCCAGGCCTTTCCATTTCTCTATTTCTCTCCTATTCCAATGAGTAGTCACTACAAATTGGTATTTTTCATCAAAGTATGGACCAAAAAACCAACAGTGTTGACCCTTGGCAAAAAGTCTTAATGTCATAGGTGGGACATAGTACAACACCAGCAAAATACTGGAAAAGGAAAAGAAAAAAAAAAAAGCAGCTTCTAGGTAATGGAGGTTCCATGAAGGACTGCCCCTGCTTCCCCTGTCTTCACAGCTGTATCTGTCTTTTATAAAAGCTAAGGCAGCTGAGAAGTGCTCTTCCTTCTCTTTCCTTTTCTCAGTGTTAAACAATACATGACACTAATTGGAACCACCACACCACGGGTGATGAACAAAGTGAGATAAGTGACCTGCCCACAGTCAAGCTGGAAAGGATGCCAAGGCCTAAAATTGAAAAGAAATCAGTTTCTATGCTAAAGTAATACAGAAATCATCCAGTTCTCAAAAGGACAACCTGTGGTGTCCGAGGCCCCAGCACCATGTGCCCACATGTCAGCTGTCCCGGGCACACAGATGCCAGCAGAGTAAAGGATAGGCACGCTGCCTCGGCTGCCACCCTGCTCCACTTCACTCCCAACACTGAAGGAAAATTTTAAAGAAAACAAAGCCACCTTAGGACCGGGCACTGTGTCTCACACCTGTAATCCCAGCATTCTGGGAGGCCAAGGCAGATGGATCACCTGAGGTCAGGAGTTCGACACCAGCCTGGCCAAAAGAGTGAGACCCCGTCTCTACTAAAACACAAAAAAATTAGCCAGGCATGGTGGCGGGCACCTGTAATCCCAGTAACTTGGGAGGCTGAGACAGGAGAATCACTTGAACCCGGGAGGCGAAGGTTGCAGTGAGCCAATATCACGCCATTGCACTCCAATCTGGGTGACAGAGAGACTCCGTCTCCAAAAAAAGAAAAAAGCCACCTTAATAGAAAAAAGTTTTTTCATTTATGACACCATACATCAGACACAGATAAATCCCGCGGTTCTGAAATCTACTGAATAAGTTTGTTGTAAATTTACAAAAAAATTTTTGAAAGCAATTATTTTTTTAAAAGGCTAAAAGAAACCTTGCTTAACGGTCTGTATTTTGGACATCTCTAAGCAGCTAAAAACATAACAAAATATCCAAGAATTCAAGTACCACACCAATAGTTTAAACTGAACTAATCTTCCACTATCTTCTAAACACGTCTTGTCTTAGCGAAAGCATTATGAATTCTGGAAATACCTTATATTTAAATATTTCCTAGTATAATTTTATCTAGAAAATCACACAGCGATTTTGCCCACAGCTCAGACCCAGCTCCCTGAATTTAGGAACCAGAAGCTCTGCTGCTGTCCTACCGGCCACCCCCCACTGAAGCCCCGCACTGAAACCTCGCAGGTGGGTTCTGCAAGGGGCCCACCACAACGGGCTTCTTCGGACTGCAATTTGAAACTAAACAGAAGAGACCACCACAAGTCTCAGGCCTAAATTACTGTGAAACTTACTTGAATTGAGTGTTTGCCTTGTTTTGGCGCTGGTGCAGTAAGCCTCGATGACTTTCAGAATCTGAGCATCTTCTTCCAAAGCAGCTGTGCCTGTCGAGAGACACGCAGCAGGTCACATCAAACTAGAAGGCCTCCAGTGCAACCGGCGTGACGAACGCAGACATTAACTCAACCAAAGTGAAAAGAATCCGCCCTTTACTTTCTTGTCCGATAACTGTTTTCTAAATATTTACAAAAGTTATATTAAAAAAGGTTTTCAGTTTTTAAAAAATATTTTATCAGCAATGCATTTGGAAAAAGGCAAATATCCTAACTTTATGACTGTCCTACCCACCCCTAAGAAAATTAGTATCCCTACTCTCAAACTGGGAAAGGGGCAGGAGGTAAGAATAAGCAAGTCACAAAACAAGAAGAGTTGTAGGAAAAAATGTCCAATCTCACTGAAACAAGAAATGAAAATTAAAACGTTTTCGTGTTTCCACATGCCAGTCAGACAAAAACAAACAGCCAACAACTCTCAGTGTCATGAGGGCATCTCTGCCTGTCTGTTCCCCACACGGCAGCCCACGGTCCTGTGAAAACCCGGGTCCCATCACCCTCTCTCTAGCCTGTCTGTTCCCCACGGCAGACCCTGGTCCTGTGAAAACCCAGGTCCCATCACCCTCTCTAGCCTGTCTGTTCCCCACGGCAGCCCACGGTCCTGTGAAAACCCAGGTCCCATCACCCTCTCTAGCCTGTCTGTTCCCCAC